CGCATAGCTGTAAATGCGATTTTATAATTCTTTTTATTTTTAAAGTGTCAGGCTATGAGCAATCATAACTCTCCACAGATTTATTTTTATTTTAACTGTTTCTGGACCAAGGAAATCTAACCTGCTCGGTCGGAACCACCAGTTGCAATTTAGGCAAAATGCATGTGTAGTTCTAGTGCTTTTAAAACTATCGCTAATTTGCAGGCATGGTAAAAAAAAAAAAAAAAAAAAAAAAAACTGAATAGGTAAGCCAAGTAGACAGAAGGATCACCAGAACTTGCCCAGGACCAGGCTTGTTGCGACTATCCATCTACACTGCCATGACTTTTTGGGAAAGGATAAAGTGCTTTCCTGTTGGCTTCACAATGCTCTTTCTTAAATTAGCTGCCAGCCAAAGCTACAGAACCCAGTCTACACTATCATTTAACCAATAGTTGGGAGAAAAGATGGAGTCATGTCTATCCCAATCATATTTTGGTAAAAGTGAACAAGACTGGGTTAGAATTTGAACTCCAATCATTGGTTCCATTTCCTGTGCCAATAATTATTATGACTCCCACAAACATTTTTTTTTAAAATATCAGAATTTATGCAGGAGACTGACTTGTCCATAATATATTTAAAAATTCTTTATTAAGGAAGTTAACTATCTTTCTTAGTTTCCTTAAATTTTCCTAAATTATGAACCTGTTTTCAATGCCCAATTGACAAAGATAATGTTAAAGTGATCCATCTGAAGTGGCTTAGAAACCATGGCAACATAGGCCTATTACCTTAATAATGATGTGATAAAGGGACATTATCTGTTTAGGCTGGGAACAGCTCTTTGAGTAATGGATAGATATAGCCTTTTCAAGGGTCTTGTGGCCCCCAAATCTCAATTTTCATAAGGTAGTATTCATATAAAATACAAATTTTATTGTAACCGAATTATGTACAATAATGAATCATATACAATATAGGTAAACACTTCATCTAGAAAAATTGAAAATAAATACAATGTATCTAAATACAAATTAGAGACCTGTCATAGATCATTCCATTTTAAATAAATCAACAATGTTTCGTGGCAATTTTTAAACATCAACTTGAGATTTTTCTTGTTAAAAAGTTGAATAATTTTAACACATTCAACATTTTAGATAAAAAATAGTGGATTTTATATAATGTTTTTTTTTTTAGACTTATCATAAGCAAAACAAATCGATGTATCTGAACTACAACAAAAGGAAAAAAAAAAAGACCCCAGAATGACGTCAAAATCTGCAAACATTTTTCTTCCTTTAATAGTCAGTTGTGCTTAGTTTAATTTGTAATGTATATAAATATAGGTAAAAAAAAAAAAAAAAAAAAGAAAAAAAGTAAATGTTGATAAGATAGTGAGTGTCACAAAACACTGGCAGAGGCAACAAATCAGGCTTGCACTGACCAGCCCTTTGGGTAGAGATATATTATAATGGACCTTAACTCTTATCCAGTCACATCATTTTGGAATTGTAAAAGGCAGAGATTGGGGGAGACTTTCCCATCAACTTTCAAATGCCATAAAATATTTATTATGAAGTGAAATCAAGATATTGCAGCATACACAGAGCCTTAGACTCAACACAGAGGCTTACACCAAGTGCCTTGAGGAGGTAGTGCTGCCTTGGGTCAAGAGGGTGGCTGGTGGAAGACCCTATGTCTGGTAACAGGACTCTGCACCATGACACACAAGCAGGAGAACCTAGTCATGGCTGACAGGCAATTTTTATGACCACATAACCCTTTATATCTGGCCACCTAACTCCCCTGAATGCAGCCCTCTTGATTATTATGTGTGGGGCAAAGTTGAGCAAGAGACCAACAAAACACCTTGTAACACCAAAGATGAACTGAAGGCAAGGATTATGGCAGCATTCATCAAGTTAAACAAGGAGACTGCCCAGAAGAGTTGTAGGAGAGTCCAAAGTCGTCTGGAGGTTGTGGTTGAAGCTAATGGTAATTTTATTGAAGTATTACTCTTTAGTTTATTTCAAGATATTTTTGTGTAGTTTTGCTAAATATATTTGTTAAAATGAGATGCCAGTGTTATTTTCATTTTTGTATAATTTAGACGACAATTTATTCATTGCATCTTGTATATATTAAAAATTAAATGTTTAAGAGAGTGAGTGGCAACTTAAGTAACATATATTTTGGAATTATAACTTGGCTTATATTGCTCTTGTTACTTTGTGTATAATATCCTCCTTATGTGTGTTGGCGATAAGAATAAATTGGTTGCCGTTATCCAAAAATAATTTCCCATGGTACACATCCTATAAGATTATTAACCTGGCCAACATTAATGAAAATGCCCGAGATTTGCTAAGTTTGGCACAAGGCCACAAGTATAGATGTTCAAACTCATAATTAATGATCGACAAGTTCAGGTTACTAATAGTGTGACAACATGAAGTGCCCGATGATAAAAAAAAATCTTTTCAAGTGTTTATTTTTAATTTTATTTTACAATAAATCAAAGACATTGTGTGTGTGTGTGTACTGACAAAAATAATGTTTAGTCACTACAAACTTTGATTTGGGACGAATAATACGCCGGAAAAAAACAAAAAAAAAAACCCCTATAATTTTAGAACTTTATTTACCTGCAAATTTTAAAAATGTTGATTGTTAAAGAACTAATTTTGAATGAGAACTTAAGACATTTTGAAATAGCACAAAAATAATGTCGAGATTTTAAGTCTAAAACTAAGAGGAAAGAGCTTAATAGATATCCCCCTTCAAATCAAATAATAAAAATACTTATTTAAAAAAAGAATCGATTTTTAATAAACTTGTTTCAAATCAGTGATGCTGATGAGTGAGTAGTGGTAAGTAACCATTCATTTCATTATTTCTCTTTTCTTCCAAGCTAAATAAAAAAGAGGGTTTTCGCCTATATTAAACGGAAAAGGAGAGAGAGAAAAAAAAGCAGGCATTTAGATTACACATCCCAGAATTGGCTATAGTGTTACTACACATCTAATTCTCACAAATACTGCCATCTTAGCTTCCACTTTAAAGCTCTGCAATCGATTACTAACAAGAAAGGTTGGTTTTGTTGTGTTCATCAATGGCCCAGCAGGCATAAGGTTGGTTGCCATGGCAACAGCCAATCAGCGAACAATAATACGTTGTCGACAGCCAATCAGAGACAAGCATCAGAAGCCACCACCATGTATAAATTAAAGGTTCGGTTTTCCTTTTTGTGCCCAGGAAAGAAAACACGGTGTCACTTTTTAAAGAAAGAACTTATCACTAGAGTTATTCAGTACAAAGGTTTATGCTGTCCAAAATGTTGTTCAGATCAATCTACGAGAAAGCACTTGAGGGTCGGGGAAATTCTCTCTCAGACCGACACACTTCTCAAATTCAGTAAGGCAATGAAGATAGCTGCTTCCATTGAAGTGGCAGATTTTGGGAAATGGACCGGGACGAGAAGTTTTCAACACTTTTCTTATATTCTTATTATATTATCTATGCGAAGATTTAACCTGAAAATTTAAAATATTTTCTTCCTCGTCCTCCTTTGCTGGTTCCACGTCAATAATTACTGGAGTTAAAAAACAAAGAAACATAAGGGCAGCCAGAGGGTTACTTTTAAAAATCTTATTGAATAATCAATCTAAATAAAAATATAAAATACGTAAGAAATGCCTCTATTAACATACACGGCTGTGTAATACAGTAACTGTAATAGTGTGGAAAACTCTTAGAATTAATTAATTTTATGTGAATGTACGTCCCTTTATGAAACTAAATCCAAGAGGAAAAAGTTGTTTTTTGTCTATTTATCATTGCTTCAAAATGATTTCTAAATTAAAAAAAAAAAAAAAAATGAATGCCGAATGTTTGAAGAGGAGAATTTCTTTTTTTTTTTTTTCCCAAAAGTATCAGCTACCAAAATAAACAACTCCTTTAAGAAAGAAAAAAAAGAAGAAATATAAAAAAATTAAGTGTTAAGTTAACCAATTTATACGTGATTTATTGAGTTTCATATTTCTGACCCCCAGGAAAAGTTATATGAGACTTGCTTAAAAATATAGATATCCTTTTTCAAAAAACATTTTTGAAACCAACATGAAAGGGGAAAAAAAAAAAAAAATGCTTTTTCCCCTTAAAGCTTACTTCAGATATTTATTTATAACAACACAGTGAAAATAGCAACTTAATTCTTAATTTAATTTTTAGTATAGAAAATAAATTCACAATGGGAAACTCTTGCAGTTTAAAAATCAAGAATACATACTTGGCCTCAGTATTTGACACAGTTATATTAACTTAAAAAAGGAAAAAAAAAATTTTAAAAATTAAAAAAGGAGGAATTTTTTTTTTATTTGGAAGTCAATGCTGAAGCATTTGGGATTTTTGATTAATCTAAGAAACAAGGATTATTTCAATAATATAAATTAATTTAAATACAAGATGATGATAATAAAAGATTTAACTGCATTTATCTCCCTTAGACTAACAATATATTTACATTTCAGTCAGACATTTAATTGATTTTTGTTTGCATTTAAATAAAATATACATTTTTTTTTTATTGAATAGGCTGTATAAAATACTACGGTTACTGCCAGCTTCCCATTCCTTTAAAGATTAAAAAAAAAATCATTTATTTGTATTTTGTTCAATACACAAGCTTTCTGCTTAAAAAGGTTTTTACAAATAATTGTTATTGGAATGGAAAGGAGTCACTTTAAAACCCAACTCTACAATGGCCAAAAAAAAATAAAATAAAAAAATAAAGATGGAGTAACGCATGTTAAAAATTGTAATCATTTGAGTGAATAATATCTTTGTTAATAAAAAGAAAACATTTTTTTTTCATTAACATTAATTATTTCTAATTGCTTTTAGGGTAGGATGTAAGGAGGATGGTATTCATATGGTCATTTTAGGAAAAGGAGATGTTAAAGTGATACAATTATAATTTTAAATATGATGAAAAGAAAAAGAAAAAATAGACTTACTAATATACTGATTCCAAACTTCATTGAGTTCTTTGTCATAAGGTTGACAGGCTCGAATTGTTCCAAGGCAATATTCACTGCAAGGCTTTTTAGCTTTCTTTCCTTGACAAGGAGGACAATAAATCATACGTGCTACACTTTGGATGCATTCTTTGCTTGGGTTTAACTGAAAATAAAGAAACAACCAGTATTGGTACAGCATTAATTATTATACGCCGTGAGGAAGGTTTTGGTTCTTGTAGTCTAAGGGAGGAGTAAAAAAGTGCTGGAATGAGAAAGTAGCCAATTGACCAAGAAATGAAATGGGAAAGATTTTACGGGGAAAAAAGTTTATTTATTACAGATGAAAGTTTTTTCAAATGCTGGAGTGAAAAAAGAAAGAAAAAGAAAAGAAACAAAAACAAACAAGAACATTTTTGAAAAAAAACCCAAAAAACCCTGAAATATTCTTGAAGACTAAACAACATTGGTTACAAAGTTGTGAAAGGATTTAAGAGGTTTTGATAAAGTGATCTTCCTCTGTATGGAATGAAGTCAGTGATCAAGGAATAAAATAATGAGACACTTTAAGAATGACAAGAAATTTGGGCAGGTGATTTTTGAAAACTTCATCTTTCCATTGTATCTTATATAACACACAAACTAGTCAAGTGTCAACATCTGGATATGGGGTGTGATGAATCAGTTTTTTTTGTCTCTCTCTTACTTTTCTTTCTTTTTCATCAGACAAAACAGAAACAGCAACAGGACATTCTACACAGGTAACTATTTCTTCATCTGATGGATAGCTTCCCTTAAATGACATGTGACACATTTGAAATAAAGTAGATTTCTTATAATAAAAAGTCATCACCAACCTTTGGGTGATACAGTTAAAAAAAAAAAAAAATTAAGTTATTGGGAATTGGAAATAGTAAGGTTACAAAGTATATATTTAACCTGGAGGTCAGGTGATGTACAAGGTGTGTTTGATTACTACTGATTATGTCACACACTTGGGGCCTCAAAAGACCCCAATCCAGGTTTTGAATTCAGAATTTGGTACCACTTCAGCATGTGATCAACATCCTGAATGTGATCTACAACACAGATCTACTAAAGTGTGTGTGATGTGCATGTCAAATATAATCTGAGAAAGTGCTCTACATTAATATTTATAAGAAAATAAATGAAATGATGAAGTAGTCAAGAAATCCCATCCCTGATTGTACACAGTTTGAATATCATTAAGAATTGCATGTGTAGATAATATTCTTAAATGTAAATCACATTCTGAAAAGGTACCCTGAACTTTCCTTCTTGTAAACTCGTTGCCAACCAAGGCTTGAGAGATTTCATTTTCTATGTTATTAATCATTCTACCAATTGCGTCTTCTTCACTGAGTCCATATACCCAACTACAAAGGAGACTCTACTTGATAGGTTAAGAATTTCCTGAATTCAAAAACTCCTTGTTCAATATTTGTTTTATCTAATGAGGCACTTAAAAAAACAAAAAAAATGTTACTTGATAAAAATAAAAAAAAATAATGGTTGGAAGATGTCCTTGATTGAAGGAGGAAATTTGGAAACAACACGTTTCATAACAATAAATTAGGAAAAAAAAAAAAAAAAGACGATGAAAAGAAAAAGAAAATACAAGTGCTCTTTTAATAGTTTTTTTTTTCTTTTTGTCACTGCCTTCAGCTACAGATCCTTTCAATCACACCCACTAAGTCAATTTTCCACCATCTTAATGAGGACTGCATCAAGCCAATATTCTTGACAGGCAGAATCAATTTCTTCAAACAAGCAAAGTTCCAAAATGACTTTGCATTTTCAATAGAATTATACCAAAGATTTTTAGTCAAGTAATAAATTCAGGACTCCCCAAAGATTACATGACAAAAGAGAGAGAAGCCGTAAATGAGCAAAAGAAACCCTAACATGTACCCAAAGTCCTCCTTCACTACCCTCCTTCTCCATCCTAATCTTCAGTCTCCCAACACTGGTCTAATAATATTGTCATGGTCATGACAGGAGATGTAGTGGGATCTGCATCAAGGAGAGAGAGAGAGGGAGGGCAAAAGATAGGGAGAAAAGTGATAATGTTCAGGAGCCCAACAGCTGGGGACACAAATAGTGAATCTATGGAAAAAGGAAAGCAGAATTGAAAAGAGAAAAGAAGACACTAATATACAATATCACTGCTCCCCACCATAATGGTAACACCATTCAAAGTTTCAGTACAATCATAAATGACTAATGCTTAGAATGATATTGGACAAGTCGGTGTAGGTCAGATTGAAGAATAAAGAGGGGAGAAAGAAAGACTGAGAGAAAGTAATCTGTGCATGAAATAAACTGTCAAACACATACTAAAAATGTAATACGCACACACACAATAATCAAGAGTTAATGAGTACACACGCACTAAATGTGTACACTGAATTAATGAACATTTGCTGTCCCAACCCAAAATTGTTTCATACAAGCAAATATACCAAGACAGGCAATCATGGCCACACTCCCCACTTCCCTGTACAGACTTGGCCACACAGAACTCTCATCAGTATAGGAACAGGGAAGAGGTGAGGGTAATTGCCTATAAAGATGTCCTATCATTTCAATATGGCTGTCTTGTAGAAGCCACACACAAGAAAAATTCTTGACTTGAAACTAACTATAGAGACAGTAAATGGCCAAACATGGAATGGCAAAAGGATGGTTGGAATGAGGAAGGGGGGGGTGCAAAAGTTGGTGGGAGGAGGGTTCCTACCAGTGAAGGTAGAGGGTAAGAAGAATTTGCAAAATCAGAGAATTACCCCCTCCCCATCTCTTAAAAAAAAACAAAAAAAAAAAAACTCACAAGTGCAAGATAATAATAATAATAATAATAATAATAATAACTGCTTAACTGAGTGCAGATTCAATGTGACCTTATTAAAAGAATTGTTAACCTTTTAGTGTCCATCATTCCACTTCAGGACATTAGCACTCATGGTTCTCCATAACTTCCTGTACTTTGTCTTTTTGCTATCTCTCCTAAACTCTGTTCTGCCAACCATTTTTACAAGTTCATTAAATAGTTTACATACGTTTTCCTCTGCGTCTGTTTCTCTTGACTTCAATATGTCCTGTGAGTGTCCAATTTTCTAAACCCTCTTTCCTCATTATGTGCCCTAGGATTTTCAATGGTGTCTTTCTAATGTTAAGTATAACATATTTTAACAGTATTTTCTTTAAAGCTTCCTCATTGCTTACATGTTCAATTCCTGGCATTCTCAGCATCCTTCTGTAGCACCACATTTGTGTTACTTCAAGTCTCTTCTTTAACTGTGAGGAGATTGTCCAGCATTCACTGTCATATACAAGGACGACTGATATTATATACCAGTTTCATACTCTTTTCTTCGTCTTGTGGAACATTTTAAGACAATTTTTTTTTTTTATATACCAGACTAGCATTGAGTTTTGTTATTTTATCAATAATATACATAAAAAAAAAACAAACTAAAATACAGTATGCACTTACACATCATGTTAAAATACAAGGAATGCTTGTCTAGTATAAAAAAAAATGTGTTCAAATGTGTTCCACTAGTGGAACAATAGCCACTACAAGGTTAAATATTCTATAGAAAGAATAGTTTTGATTATTTTATGTTCCATGTCTCTTCAGGTCATGGGCAATCACAGCTCTGCACAACCTTCCATCCCTTAGCAGTGTTTTTCCCTTTGTCAAGACACCTGACCCCTTCCCCTGTTCCTCAATCCATTAACACAAACTACTCAGGTAGAAGGCCCACTACCTTCTCCTGTCTCTCTGGCCCTCAATAAGCCTTGTGAGGGTTAAGTTTTCCAAGACCTCCTTCCTCATTATGTGTCCAAGAGATTTCAGCTGATTCCTGATTCTAAGGGTTCTTTTGGTTACCATCTTTAAGACTTCCTCAATGCCTCCAGTTTCCTTTTCATCCGAGAGAGAGAGATTGTCCAGCATTCAATACCATATAAGAGAACTGATACCACACAGCAACTGCACACTTTTTTTTCTTCTTAGAAAAATTCTCCCTTTCTTAACACCTTTTTTTTTTAGCTTTTGGAAAACATTTTTCGACTAATCTGAATGTCTTCACATTTTCCATCCTGTGCCAAAACACTTCACAGATATTTAAATGTTGACCTCTCCAATTCATAACTAGTAGCTTGGGATATTCCTCATGCTAACAGCCATATATTGTCTTCTTGAACTTGAATGCTAATCCCTTTTCTCTCGCTTTTCTTTACTAGGAACCCATGTAGTTTTCTTATCCATATCTGACATGTACACACTGTCATCTGCAGGTCTTATATTGTTAAGATCAAACACCCACCTTCCGATAAGTCTTTGTAGGATCTCCCGCTTCCTTAGGTTAGCCATGCAGTAAAGGTTGTACAGATCTGGATTGAAGATGCATCAAGTGAAGTTTTACACTATTTTTTTTTTACCAAATTTAGCTCTGATTGGCATAAAGGAAACCCAGTAAAAATTTACAATGTGCCTAGTTATGCTGGCTCCTATCAAGGTTAACAAGGGGTGTAATATATTTTTCTTTTACTACCCAATACTGTAATTATGGAAGAATGGTTTGCCCATTGGGTCATTCAGCCACATTCTTCACTAACAACTTGACATGCCAAACATGACCTTTCTGTAAATAAAAATAGACAGGACATAGCACAAGGATGTGGATTCATGCCTTTCACTTGGTGTTAAGTATACATAGGTAGTTTCAGTTGAAACTAGAAAACCCTTTGAGGATCTAGCCATTGTGTGTGCGTGCATCTGTAGAGATAAAAAGTTCTGAACCCAGGTGAAAAGGTCATGCATAATACCTCTGACCTATCACCTTGGGAAGGAGGGGAGGTGGGGTGAAGAGAGAGAGAGAGAGAGAGAGACAGAGGAAATAATCCAGCTATTTTAATATTTAAAAAAAAAAGACAAAGAAAAAAGCCTACCTATGTCAATGTCTTCTAAGTATCTTTCAACTTGCACTTTTTAAAGCGATTTGCAATTCTTTTTCAGGATTATCATTAGCTGCCATGTTACACTCTCCTAAATCTTACCAAATTTAGTTTTAGGAAAATCTGGAAGTTGCAATGAGTCAAATCTTGACTTTCAGAGATGGACAGAATGGATTCATGCAA